AAATAGTAAAACTGCTCATAACTGCATAAACTTCCTAGAGTTGTTTTTCATGTAAAAATTGATTTCTCTCCAGGCCTTTCAAGGTACTACATTGGTTTGCTTCAACCATCAATGGAACCGCAGTGATATACAAGTGGACAATAACACCATTATACGTAGACACTGATGCTTATGTATCTGGTGTGAATTCAATATCTTGGACATCTGTTCACGCTAGAGTGAGTATAATCTAATATGAGATTGGATCAGGATAATCAGGATTGGAGCGAGTCAACCAGGAAGGCATTTAATTTGCCTTGATTAAGCTGATTGGTTGTCATTTGAAATTGCACTGTGAGACAAAGTAATTTTTGGGAGTGGAGCTATGTCACATAATGTTGTATTTTGCTAAGACTTTTACAATGTTTTTCTATGGGCTCTGTGCGAGGTGTTGTTGAACTTCAGTCGAAGAGATGCTAAAAATAGCTAGTCGATGAAACAACACAAACTCAACTTTGAAATAATCCTGAGCTACCAAATATATATATGTTGCACATGTAGAGGTAATCTTGTTACACTGTTCAGGAGAGTCTCAACAACTATCCAAAAGTACAGTTTTCTGAGAGTTTTTGGTCTTTGTTTTCACTGTGATGGTTGCCAGGCAGTGAAAATGCCCGGATGCTCAACCCAGGAGTACCTATATGTATTATTTGTGGACCACAACAATATTTAAAACCACTAGAAATTTTAGATAGAGGGAACTGTTTACCCATTCCTATCAACTATTGTTCTGCAATTGTGGTGTGTAATCTATAAGTTAATTTTATTTTTGTAATTTCAGAAATCGCATCTCTTCAGGACCCCAGGTGTATATAATGTTTCATTGACTGTTTCTAATGCATTAAGTTCCGTCTCAACTTCCATGGTTACCATTCTACAAGATCCAATCAAACACCTTGATGTTTCCATAGCAACTGTTCTCCATGAAGATCCATCTGTGTTTGTGATCACTATTAAAGGAGGAAAACACTTTGATGTTGATATGAGTTTTGGAGATGGCACAACTTTTTCTTTTAGCACTGAAACTGAAAAAAATATCACTGAATTTTCTGATTTTTCTGGGCAACTTCCTAAATATACATATCATGTGGTGAAACAGTATATTAACATTGGTCACTATGACTGTGTTGTCAATATTTCTAATGATGTTTCATTTGAAACAAAGTCATTGGCTGCTATTGTTGATGAACCAATCTCTGGTCTGTTGTTTACTTCTGTGTTACCTCCTGTGATGTCTCTGTATGATGAATTGACAATGACAGCAGAGGTTGCAACTGGTACAGACGTTGTATTCAACTGGAATTTCAACGATAATTCTGTTGTTCAAACGTAAGTATTCACTTCTCAGATAATGTTATTCTCAAAATAATTATAGTTCTTTTCATTTATGATCTCAAATATTATTTCACATTACCAGTATCTAAATTCATGTCTTTGT